AACGGGGAGATAAAACACCTGGAGGGGACAGGAGCTCCACAAGGAGAGCAGAAGAACCAAAAAATCTGGGCCCAAGGGTCTTTTCTGAGATTGATACTCCAACCAAGGACTCTACATAGAGATAACCTAGATCCCCTGCACAGATGTAGCCCATGGCAGCTCAGTGTCCAAGTAGGCTCCCTAGTAAGGGGAACAGGGTTTGTCTCTGATATGAACTCAGTAGCTGGCTCTTTGATCAACTCCCTGTGAGGTGGGAGCAGCCTTATGAGACCACAGAGGAAGACAGTGCAGCCAGTCCTGATGAGACTTGATAGGCTGGAGTCAGATGGAATGGGAGGAGGACCTCCCCTATCAGTGGACTGGAGAAGGGGCATGGGAGAAGAAGAGGGAAGGGGATTGGAGTGGGAAGGGAAGAGGGAGGGGGCTACAGCTAGGATACAAAGTGAATAAATTGTAATAAATAAAAAATAAATTAATTTTTAAAAAGTAGAGTGGGACATGTGGACCTGAGGACAAGGACACACTAAGAAAAGGTGTCTTGTCACCTGGAGCTGTCCAGCCTCATGTTTGGTGACATGAGACCTTGGTCCAAGCTGACAGGAATTTAGATAGTAGGATTAAACCATAGCCTTTACCTTGTGGAGAAGACAGAAAATCAGAAGCTCTGAGGGTCAGGGCTCTAATTTAATCTCCTCACTGCCTCCTCTTCCCTCTGACACAGTGAAGTCATTTAAGGAAATAGCATGGTCTGGCACTGACCCTCTCTCATAAGAGTTCTTACTCCATGTCAAGGAGGGGACAGGTAGAAGGAACACAGTATAGACTGGGAAGGATTCAGATTCTAACACCTTTGTGGGCTTTCAAGCTCTAAGAGGCCCTTTAAGAACCTCGGTTTCCTTAACTGGACAATGAGCCTTGTCACCCCTCAAGTACTCATCTGGGTTTCCATCCAGCTCATGAAAAGAAAACTCACATCTGCTGATCCAGAAGGGGGATCCGAAGACAAAGGCCTTCTCACCATCATAGCTGGCCTGCACACGATGTTGTCTGATGTTTCTGAAGAGCCTGGGGTGGTGCTGGTGTCACAGCAGTAGACAGGGGCATGAGAACCCGGACTGCGTGCACACATGGTGACATAGTGACCTCTCACCTGGAGCTGCCCTGCCTTGTCTTTGCATAAGAATATCTTGGCCTAAAGTTGTCAGAAATCACATGGAATCAGAATAAGCCTAGTCAAGTTCAGAGCAGGACAAAGCAGCCTTGGGAGGAGAGATTGGTATGGGATGAAACAAGACCAAGGGAGCCAGAGTCATCCTACCCAGAAACACAGCCCAGGCTTTAGTTTTGCACATTTGTCTCTGAGCAGGATATCTGAGAGGCCCTGTCTGTTGGACAGAACTCAAGGAATCTCACTGTCTGTGCCGCTGTGCTCTTCAGAACAGCCTTCAGAGTCCCTCCAGGTCTTTCCTTTATGGTGTGAGCAAAGTCTAAGATCAGGGAGGCCAAGAAGAGTCTTCAGTATGTGGTGGGTTGAACCCAGACTAACGAATCTCTGAGCTCCCACTGTCCACCACGTGAGTTCTCAGGTCCCAAGAAGCTTAGATGCACATCTCATCATGGGCATGGTGCGGTCTCACTGATGTTGACACCAGTGATGCTCAGGATGAGGTGAAAACCATCAGAGGCAAAAAGCTCCTGGAGTTCATGGGTAGAAAATCCTCATCCAATAATAGCAGAGGTGACAGTGAAAATGTGAAAGGCATTCAACATCAGGGTTGAAGGTCAAAAGAGAACTTATTTAAATGCTCACAGATTACTCCACTTTTGCTAATTCATTCCCCTATTAAATAAAGTAGTTAGTTAATACAGTGCAATTACACATTTAATAATGATTAACATAATTATACATTTCCCCTCTCTCTTTCCTCCCTCCTATGCCTCTCATGCATACTTTCTCAAAATCACGGCCTACTCTTCTTTAAGTACCTAGTACTTTGTTATATGTCTTTGAGATTCAAGTGGTGCTGTCCTTCCACACATTTGCATGACACATTTCACCCACTCCCCAGTTGGTGCACATCTAAGTGACCTGATTTTGACTACGTTTAATCAGGCTCTTATGAGTTTCTGGAAATATGAGTTTTTGTGATTGGTGTTTTCAATTCCTTGAACTAAATAACTGGAAGTAGAATTACTCAATCATTGGTTAAATGTGTTTCGCTTTTAAAGAAACTGTCAAACTGTCATCTGTAAAGACTGTATCATTCTGTTTTTTATTTAAATTTACTTTTTATAATTTATTCACTTTACATCCAATTGTACACCCCTTCCTTATCTCCTCCTCTTCTCACTCTTCCTCCCTCTTCCTCCCTTTCCCCTTCCCCTATTTCTCAGAAAAGGGGAGCCCTCCTCCCCTACCATCTGACCCCAGCTTATCAAGTCTCATTAGGACTGCTTGCATCTTCTTCCTTTGTAGCCTGGCAATGCCCCCAACCAGAGGGAACTGATCAAAGAAAAGGCAACAGAGTCTATGTTAGAGGCAGCCTCTGCTCCCCTTACTAGCGTACCCACACAGAGACTTTTGTATTTCCTCCATTCGTGTATGATAATGCCAGTGACTGCATGTTTGGTTGGTTGTAGGGTTCTTAAACCTGGTTATGTTGAATGGACTTGGAGTAGTATCTCATTGAAGGTATTTTCTTTTTTTATTATTTTCATGGAGTTGAGACTCTACCTTCTTCTTCTTCTTCTTCTTCTTCTTCTTCTTCTTCTTCTTCTTCT